AGTCTAGCCTTGTGTATTGATAGACTCTGGACAAACCTACTACCTTTTGCTTCATCATAAGCAACTGATAAACCAAACCGATACTCAAAGAGTCTTGTTTTGACTTGGAACTCCAAACCCCACTTTCCTAAAATCCTTAGTATACCCTCACCTTATGCACTTATTTCGGCACTCTTTCAAGTTTTAAAGAAAAGCAATGCAAGGTGTGAGATTTTCCTGTGACAGTGTGGCGTCTGTACCCAAGTCTCTTTTTTTTTGTTATCGAATAATCGACGTTGTGTGGAGTTCTACAGGGGTTGTGAAGGATTAAGACCATTATTACCTCCGCCATTGGAAATTTGAGGGGACTGGTAACACAAATTTACGAGGGTTATCGACAATATGGTGTGGAGAATCGCTAGTGGCAAAATGCGTCCAATTGCTGTCGTGGTTTATTTTGAGGTCGAAATATTCTTTTCATTTTTAAAATAATTTTCTGGAGAAATCAAGAGCAAATCTACGAGGCCTCCAATTTTTATTTATTTTTACGTATTTTTTAGAGGGCGAAAAATCACTAACGTTGGAGTACTCTTTCCATAGAGAAAATCGTGGCCCACACATGGCAGCGAAAGGATGAAAAGTGCACCGAATTGGCACTAGAATTTATTTAATGGCCTTTTTAAAAAAATATTTTACTCTCGAAAAGATTAGTACCTAATGTATATAGGATCTCAAATTTTTATAATTTTCTGAGCATTCTCCTTAGCATGAAAAATCGCCAAAGTTGGCGCTTCCTTTTCTTTTTTTAATTGTTGCTGACTTCCGCTTTGTCGCCGACCTCTGCTTCCTTCGGGCATATTAGATTCCGAAAGGCCCAGGAAGCCAATTTTCGACTACTAGGGGGGGGGTGATTCAAGCGGTGCTTGTTATATTGGACAGCCTGTACAGTAGGACCAGTAGAGCTTGAGAAAAAATCGTGAGGCTATGGGAGGGTGTTTAGGCGGGGGCGGGCATGTGAAAAATTATAGGTACCTCAAGTTTCGCATTTCTTTAATTTTTTAAGATGAAAAATTGATTTCCAAAAAAATCAGGGATGTAGACTAGGTTCCGCTGCATAAGACAAAAAAAATAAATCATTTTGCCTATGAACAAATATTTGCGTCAAACTAAATGCATATTTTGATCAAGGCGCTGTCATTCTCTCTCTCTCTCTCTCGCGCGCGCGCGCTCTCTGTCTCTCCACCCCCCGAACTCTCTGTGCACAAGGTGGCATAATGGCAGCAAGCGGATTGAACGAGTGGTTCCGACATGCACAAAAGAAACTTTGTATCATATGGCGATTTTTCCACTATTTCACGTCACTCTCTGGCCAAAATGTACGCAGTAAAATTCAAATTTGGAACTAGAGAAAGGGATCGCAGAAAGGGATCTGGGTAAACGTTTAAGTGCGGAACTAGAGAAAATTCCACTTGGAATCAGTGACAAAATTGTAAAAGACTGGGAAAAAATCAGTGAGTGGAAAAAACACTTCCAGGTTGCCGCAATGGTTTTAAACCACCAGTTCGGCCGAAGCTAAGCTAGTATCGTACCAGTGTACCTAGCAAGAGGATACCACGTCAGTCTTCCGAACCAAAGGGGGTTACTGGAGGCTTGTGTGAAATGCTGAGTATCTCGACTTTGCCGATTTTTTATTCTTATTTGCATCAATATATATCTATATTTTTATATTTTATATGCATATATACAGGGGTGCCAGGCCGAACGTACGGAGGCCCCTAATCTGACCCCCGAACGTTCGGGCGTTCTGGTCCCCGTACGGGGCCCGAACCTAAAAGGGTTCGAAACCCGCAAAAAACTATTTTGGTACCTAAATATCATTATCGATTTCTGAAAATTTCTCTGTGAGTTATTTGTGATGTAAGGTACCTCCCTATTAATTTTGAAGCCATTCTATTCAGCCACAAAAAATTGAAACATCGGCAAAGATGGTGGTTGCCAATGGTGGTGTCAAAACTTGCTTGCCCAGTCACTAATTTGTTTTTTCGCTCCTTTCACGTTTTGTTTTTTCTTTATTTCGGGGCATGAAAAAAAAAAAAAAAATTCAAACTTTATTTGTATATTCTCTATTATGTAAGATACACATATATAAATTTTCATTGCATTTGTCACAGCCAAAAAAAAAAGAAAAATCACCAAAGATGGTGGTGTCAAAAACATGTTCGCCCACTCAATAATTTCATTCTCGTTTGATTTTTTCTAACTTTCATTATTATTATTTATTTTTAGTATTTGATTTTTATTTCAAATTTGGTAAAGAATTTGGATGTAAAGTTGAGGCAAATGTTTTTTAGTTTATTTTTCTGTATAACATATATATATTTTT